AGAGAGAGAGAGAGAGAGAGAGAGAGAGAGAGAGAGAGAGAGAGAGAGAAGACGCTCGTTTGCTCGCACAGATCGAGCTTCTTTCGTAGATCGGGCTTCGTCGCGAAGGAGATCTCCCGGAGGTGCTTACTCTCGAGAATCGAGCGGGAATCGCAAGTTCATACGAACGCGTGCGCTTGGGTAAGGTTAGTATTGTTGAATTCGATTAGCATTCTCTTTCTCTCGATCGCGATCGATATCGAGCGATATCTGTCAGTGTGATTTCCGTAATGACAGGTGTAAGAAACGCCGAGTCGACACGTCGCGACAACCTTCGGTTATATATACTAAAGGTAAGGAGATTATTGTCTAATCGTACTTACGTTACGCGTTAACGTACTTACGTTACGCGTTAACGATCGCACATTGTCATTTTCCACACGTCATTGTCCCGAGACCTATTTCCGCGCGAGATTCGCTTTCAGTACTCAAAAGGCACGTAAAACACGGAGCGATGTTGATCGATGTGTCGATGTTGCTCGATGCAAAAAGGAAGATGCGCAATGCATGATGGACGCCGAAAATGCGCGCCGAAACGCGAGTAGTATCTGCCACTTTACAATGACACGCTCTCACAGACGGAGTACACACTCTCCCGTCTCTCTCTTAGTAATAGACCGACGCTACTCTCCTGAGATTCGGTGCCGCGTATCTATCTTTCCGATTACCATCGCATTTTTAATTCCCGGTTCATAAATCCGACGATCGTCCGATTTCATTACTGTTTGAATGAGTCGATAGTAATAACAAATGTAAGAGACGCCGAGTCGACACGTCGTGACAAACATCGGCTGAATATACGAATAAACGGGAAGATTGCTTTCTAATAACGTACTTACGATAGTTGCCGATCACACATCGCTATTTCGACACTCCCGACACTTGTTTCCGCGTGAGACTCGATTTTGCCACTCAAAAGGCACGTCAAACGCGGAGCGCTGTTGATCGATGTGTCGACGACGGTTGCTCGATGCGGAAAGGAAGATGGTCGCGCAATGTATGACGGACGCCGAAACGCGAGCAGAGTCGTCATTCTACAACGACGCGTTCTTGCAAGTGGCGTACACACTTCCCTATCTCTCTTTTACTAATAGACCGACGTTACCTCCCGACATTCGGCGCCGCGTATCTGTCTTTCCGACTACCGTCGCATTTCTAATCCCCGATTAATGAATACGAAGATTGTCTGATTCTGTCGCTGTCTAAGCGATTCGAGGGAGATTACGTGTGTCAGAGACGCACGTCGAGTAGACACGTCGCGACAAGCACGGGTTCATATGAGTCGAGAAAACAGCAGATTACCGCTTAATAACACACTTACGTTACGTCCTGACGATCGCACATCGCTGTCTCGTCACTCCCAATACTTATATGCGCGTAGGACTTGACTGATAATACACAAAAGACGTGTGAAACGCGGAGCGATGTCGTTCGATGTGTCAATGGCGGTGGTCGATGTAAAAAGGACGAAAATGGCTACGCAACGAACGCCGAAAACGCGCGACGTGAGCGCTGCTACAGCGACGCGCTCTGCACGCTCAGATCCGCGGCTGCCTATCACTCGATAGATCCGATAGATCGATATGGCAAGCTATCGATCAGACACCTTCATTCTTTGCTGTGCGTTTCTCATCACTGTTGAATGAATCCAAGTAGCACGTTCTCGCTTTGTCGATTAATCAGCAGTCATAAGTGGTCTGTTCTTTTCAGCTGCACTGTTGAACTGGTGCAATAAGTTAGAGTGAGAAAACATATACTTATCTCACTTTAACTTATTGCACCAGTTCAGCAGTGCAGCTGAAAAGAACAGACCAAAGAATTCGTAGCTGAATACGAATACGGCTGGCCAAAAACTTTTAGTAACTATCGAGCTGTCGGCGGTACACGGCATTCGCAGCGCTGAGATCCGCGCGGACCAATTAGAGCCTTTCTTCGCGCGCTCTGCGGTGTCTGTAGTCTCTGTCCTGAGTGTACACAAGTGAGTGAGTGAGAGAGCACGAATTTTCGGCGTCCGTCATGCATCATGCGGCTGTTCTCGACCTATTCGCATCGGGCAACCGCCATGAAAACATCAATCGACATCGTTCCGCGTCTTTTATCTGTCGAGAGTGAGCCTCGTGCGGAAATGAGTAATGGGAGTGCCGAAAAACAACGATATTCGACCGTCGGGACGTATCGCTACGTTATGAGACCGTGATCTGCTCGTTTCTTCGCATATATCCAGCTGGTGCTTGTCGCGACGCGTCGGCTCGGCGTCTTTTACACTTGTCATTACCAACTTGAATAATAATGGAATCGGACGCTCGTTAGGTTTGTTAATCAGGAATCAGAGATGCGATGATAATCCGAATGATAGATAGATGTGACGCTAGGCATATTCGCGGCGTCGAATCTCGAGAGATATCGTCGGCCTATTAGTGAGAGAAACATAGAGGAGTGTGTACTTCGCCTACGAGAGCGCGTCGTTATAAGAGTGGTGACACTGATCGCGTTTCGGCGCGCATTCTCCGCGTCCGTCATGCATTGCGCGGCCATCTTCCTTTACGTATCGAGCAACCGTCGTTGACGCATCGACCAATATCGCTCCGCGTTTTACATGCCTTGTGAGTGTCGAAAGCGAGTCTCGCGCGGAAACGAGTGTCGGGAGTGCCGAAATAGCGATATGTGATCGTCGGGAGGTATCGTAAGTACGTCATTAGAAAGCGATCTTCCCATTTGTCCATATATCCAGTCGGTGCTTGTCGCGACGTGTCGAGTGTCGGTGTCTCTCTTACATGTGCTATTCGTCTCGCTCGAGTAGTAATAGAATCGGACGATCGTCGGATTTATGAATCGAGAAATGCGATGATAAACGGAAAGACAGATACGCGACGCCGAATCTTGGGAGGATACCGTCGGTCTATTACTAAACGAGAGACAGGGAAGTGTGTACTTCGTCTATGAGAGCGCGTCGTTATAAGAGTGGTGACACTGCTCGCGTTTCGGCGCGCGTTTTCCGCGCCCGTCATGCATTGCGCAGTCATCTTCCTTTTCGCATCGAGCAACATCGCTCCGCATTTTACGTGCCTTTTGAGTGTCGAAATCGAGTCTCGCGCGGAAACAAGTGTCGGGAGTGCCGAAATAACGATGTGTGATCATGGGGAGATATCGTAAGTATGTTATTAGAAAGCGATCTTCCCGTTTGTCCGTATATCCAGCCGGTGCTTGTCGCGACGTGTCGACTCGGCGTCTCTTATGCTTGTTATTACCATCGACTCATTCAAACAGTAATGGAATCGGACAATCGTCGGATTTATGAATCGGGAAATGCGATGATAAGCGGAAAGACAGATACGCGACGTCGAATCTCGGGAGGGTAGCGTCGGTCTATTAATAAGCGAGAGACGGGGGAGTCTGTACTTCGCCTGTGAGAACGCGTCGTTGTAGAGTGAGACGACACATTCGCGTTTCGACGCGCATTTTCGGCGTCTGTCGTGCATTGCGCGGCCATCTTCCTTTTCGCATCGAGCAACAATCATCAACACATCGATCAACATCGCTCCGCGTTTTACGTGCCTTTTGTGTGTCGAGAACGAGTCTCGCGCGGAAACAAGTGTCGGGAGTGCCGAAATAGCGATGTGTGATCGTCGAGAGATATCGTAAGGACATCATTAGAAAGCAATCTTCCCGTTTGTCCGCATATCCAGCCGGTGCTTGTCGCGACGTGTCGAGTGTCGGTGTCTCTCTTACATGTGCTATTCGTCTCGCTCGAGTAGTAGTAGAATCGGGCGATCGTCGGATTCATTAATTGGGAATTAGAAATGCGATGGTATATTCAGAGGAAGAGATACATAATATATCGTCAGAGACATACACGACACCGCGGAACTGAGTGTGCAATTAGGCAATAGTCGAGCGTCGCGCCGCTGCCGGCAGCGCGACGGACTAGCGGCGTGAAGCGCGCCGGAGCAGCGACCGCGACCGTTAGTGAAAATCGCAGCGCGAGTGTGCACGGCCTGATCAAAGTGTCCGTCGCGTAAATCGACACTGCGTACGCGTTCTGCGAATCGTGACGGCAGGAACAAGTCGGGCCGCGAGGAACAGTGGCCGCGGACGGACCAATCCTACACGGACGATTCCGCGATCGCGTCGCTAGTTTCCGTAAATTTCACGTAACGTGCCCGCCGAGAACGCGATCCCCCCGAGCGGCGCGAACTGTTTGCGCGACCGCCGCCAGTGGCTTACATTATTAACGAGCGCCTGCTGAAAAAGAGGACGCCTATCTCCGGCCGCGAGTGACGGTTTTAAAACGGCGCCGAGCGAGCGGCATCAGTAAGAATCGATCGGTCGAAAGTTCGTCGCGGACGGCTGATTGCAAAACAGCGAGGGGACATTCTGCGGGGGCCGAACCTTGCGCGTTGGGTGCTGCTGCGAAACCTCTTCCTTCGACAGCGAAGTTGGCGAAGCTGCGGACAGCTGCGAACACAAGGACTCCGATGTACGCACGCACGCACGCTCACGCACCGGCGATATCGACGAAACGTGGTATGTACTCTGCAGCAATTATATCGCAAGGTACAATATACATTTGCTCTTAGGCGCAATATTCGATATATCCACTTGTACATGGAAAAAACCACTCCGTTAGTGTAACTGAATTTTCTGTTATCTGGGAATCCAGACGAAAAACTCGATTGTCAGAACAGAAAAATCCCTGTGGGAGATCTCTACTCAGCCAATTGCTCTCAGTTATCTCAACCGAGTTTTAACACAACTGGGGCTCTTTTAATGAAGTCTTATTAACAGTTATTACCTGAAACTCGTCTCAAATGAGATAATCGCCTCAATAAGACCCGTATTAAAAAATTGTCGTCTGAAACTTATCTCATGTGAGATACATAGATTTTTACTTAGAGTTAGATTCAGGTTTTTTTCCAATTGAATTATGGTATATATAATATTTATATCTGTAATGTGTGATTTTCAATGAAATGATTTTTATCTCACTCTGAATTAAAATCTGAAATTACGGGTGTCAAATTTAAATTTAAAGTTAGACAAGAGTTTTCCAGTCGAATGATTCAACTGGGAAACTTGTAACTAACTCTGAATAAAAATCTAAGTATCTCACATGAGACAAGTTTCAAGTGACAGCTATTAACCTGAATGTTCAGATAAATGTTTTCGATCATGCGTAACAGAAATATTATTTCTCGTCAGCAAGTTTCCGGCTCGGTTTCCATTCAGTCACACGAACTGTATCTTTTTTTTTTTATGTATAGGTCATGCGCCCACCTTTTTTGGAGACGTAGGAAATTTGGCGCCAAGTGCGCGCGCGCGCACATACGTTTGACTTCTGTATTCTGCCGCGATTACTCTGCGGCGAACGAGGCGAGAATTTTTCGCACGCGGGAAAGTTGGAATTCCTAGCCTCCGGGTTTCACCGTGGGTTGGTCCGCGTGCGTCGGACAGCATTTCCGATCTCCTGCGCGAAGTGGATTGGCAATTTCGTAAATGCAGCTTCTTTGCCGATGCAACGATGAACGCGTTAATGATTCGCGTCCAGTTGGCGCTTCATCGCCGCGTACATACGACAAAAGGTTACGAAATTATTTCCCCCGTTATATCAAACAGCCCATACGTTATATTACCATAATACAATGAATCTGAGCGTTGGGAATAAATAAGAAAATCCGCGCACACGACAAGAGATCGCGTTCGAGCGAGTGTGGTTTGCGACGCGTAATATCGCATAATTAATGCAATTTGCAACTCTCGCACGTCGTTTTTCGGCTGAACTCCTCAATTAGGCGACGGAGGGCGAGGCGATCCTTAAAGGGGACCGTTCGTTCGCTCCTTGTCCCAGCGGAGATAGCGAACTGGCCGGGCTTTCAGTCGAGTCTGCGCCGTTGTCGACAGTGAGTCCTCGTCGGCGAAGTGAGCCGCGGCTCGACATCCGACGCGACGCTTGTGAAACGTCGTCGCGTTGCTCGCTGCCGCAGCACGCGTTGATAAAGCCGCACGATAACGAGATGCAGTGCGACGCGGCGCGGCGCGGAGTTACCTCACGCACCAAGTGCAATGCTACAAACTATCACTTTTCTCGCGCAACAAGACTACGCGTACGGCGACCGTGTGCGCCGTAACAGTTGCGAAATCTATTGTGGAGCGCCGAGACCCCGAGTCATTACAACGCCCACGCGCGCCCGCGGATACGTTACGCGGCAGGGAGGGTCCTTACAGGGCGTCCGCTGCGATTTATCGTCGGGCTACGTACGAGAGATCGCGGATGATCGCTCGATATTGGCCACCGAGCAGCTGGCTAGCTTATTCCTCGTTATCTGCGCGATTAAATTTACCACGAAATCTCTCGAACGGATTCGTGGGGAGCGTAATTTTTAGACGGTCTATCATTGGAATTATGTGTGAGAGAGAATATTCTTGACAATTGACAGTTACAAGGATTTCAT